TGTCCATAAAATTAACAAAGTGACCGGTCGGCCACCTGAAAATGGCAGTAAAATTAACAAAATGACCGGTCGGCCACAAAAAAATGTCCGTAAACTTAACAAAGTGACCGGTCGGCCACATGAAAATGTCCATAAATTTAACAAAGTGACCTGTCGGCCACATGAAAATGTCAGTAAATTTAACAAGTGAACGGTCGGCCACATGAAAATGTCCATAAATTTAACAAAGTGACCGGTCGGCCACATGAAAATGTCAGTAAATTTAACAAAATGATCGGTCGGCCACATAAAAATGTCCGTAAAATTAACAAAGTGACCGGTCGGCCACATGAAAATGTCCGTAAACTTAACAAAGTGACCGGTCGGCCACATAAAAATGTCCTTAAATTTAACAAAGTTACCGGTCACCCACATGAAAATGTCCGTAAATTTAACAAAGTTACCGGTCAGCCACATGAAAATGTCCGTAAATTTAACAAAGTGACAGGTCGGCCACATAAAAATGTCCGTAAATTTAACAAAGTTACCGGTCAGCCACATGAAAATGTCCGTAAATTTAACAAAGTGACCGGTCGGCCACATAAAAATGTCCGTAAACTTAACAAAGTGACCGGTCGGCCACATGAAAATGTCCGTAAATTTAACAAAGTGACCTGTCGGCCACATGAAAATGTCCGTAAACTTAACAAAGTGACCGGTCGGCCACATAAAAATGTCCGTAAATTTAACAAAGTTACCGGTCACCCACATGAAAATGTCCGTAAACTTAACAAAGTGACCGGTCGGCCACATGAAAATGTCCGTAAACTTAACAAAGTGACCGGACGGCCACATGAAAATGTCCGTAAACTTAACAAAGTGACCGGTCGGCCACGTGAAAATGGCCTTAAATTTGATCCTGCTAAGCCCCTCCCAGCATCCCCACAACCCCCTCCTCCTGTTTGTTCTCCTCTCTCTTTCAACTTCTACTTACTGTTTCCTAGCTTGACGTTACAGTCTGGCTTTTACCACAGCGGTGATTGCTACCCAAAGGTGAATAAACACCACTTCACTGACCCGACCCTACCCCACTCGGCCATTGTTCGGCCCCCCGGGGAATGGGTCAATTACCGCGACAGGAGACTATAGAAATGGTATGTGCAAGGAGGCACCAGTGGTCAGATCACACTCTCGGATAACCGTGTCAGGTTGGATAAACCCAGGAGGTGAGAGGCGGCGGAAAGGAGGGAACAAGAAGTAAGGAGGAAACCGTTACTGACCAATTGCAATACCATGCAACGAGGCCGAGTGTCTGATATAATGTAACTGTCATTCTGGTTGATTGTGGATTGATCACGATCGACATCCACAATTTCAAGATCTTCACTCATGAACAGTCTGTTATATCCGTGCGTCCATCCGTCAGGGCATTCCTCCATCACACCGTCCCTTACAATTGAACTATTTTAAACACAATAACACAGTTTTTACACCGGCGATGCCACATCACGCACACAATGGACCGGTCCTATCCCATCACCTACATAGTGGACCGGTCCTATCACATCACCTACATAGTGGACCGGTCCTATTTCATCACCCACACAGAGAACCGGCCCTATCACATCACCTACATAGTGGACCGGTCCTATTTCATCACCTACATAGTGGACCGGCCCTAACACATAACCCACACAGTGGACCGGCCCTATCACATCACCTACATAGTGAACCGGTCCTATAATATCACCTACTTAGTGGACCGGCCCTATCACATCACCCACACAGTGGACCGGCCCGGTTTCATCACCCACACAGCGGACCGGCCCTATCACATAACCCACACAGTAGACCGGCCCTANTGGATAAACCCAGGAGGTGAGAGGCGGCGGAAAGGAGGGAACAAGAAGTAAGGAGGAAACCGTTACTGACCAATTGCAATACCATGCAACGAGGCCGAGTGTCTGATATAATGTAACTGTCATTCTGGTTGATTGTGGATTGATCACGATCGACATCCACAATTTCAAGATCTTCACTCATGAACAGTCTGTTATATCCGTGCGTCCATCCGTCAGGGCATTCCTCCATCACACCGTCCCTTACAATTGAACTATTTTAAACACAATAACACAGTTTTTACACCGGCGATGCCACATCACGCACACAATGGACCGGTCCTATCCCATCACCTACATAGTGGACCGGTCCTATCACATCACCTACATAGTGGACCGGTCCTATTTCATCACCCACACAGAGAACCGGCCCTATCACATCACCTACATAGTGGACCGGTCCTATTTCATCACCTACATAGTGGACCGGCCCTAACACATAACCCACACAGTGGACCGGCCCTATCACATCACCTACATAGTGAACCGGTCCTATAACATCACCTACATAGTGGACCGGCCCTATCACATCACCCACACAGTGGACCGGCCCGGTTTCATCACCCACACAGCGGACCGGCCCTATCACATAACCCACACAGTAGACCGGCCCTATCACATCACCTACATAGTGGACCGGTCCTATGACATCACCTACACAGTGGACCGGTTCTATGACTCACCTACACAGGGGACCGGTCTTATCACATCCCCTACAAATTAGACCGGCCCTATCACATCACCTGCATAGTGGACCGGCCTTATGACATCACCTACATAGTGGACTGGCCCTATGACATCACCCACACAGTGGTCCGGTCCTATGACATCACCTACATAGTGGACCGTCCCTATCACATCACCCACACAGTGGGACCGGTCCTATGACATCAACTACATAGTGGACCGGTCCTATTTCATCACCCACACAGAGGACCGGCCCTATCACATCATCTACATAGAGGACCGGTCCTATGACATCACCTACACAGCGGACCGGCCCTATCACATAACCCAAATAGTGGACCGGTCCTATGACATCACCTACATAGTGGACCGGCCCTAACACATAACCCACACAGTGGACCGGCCCTACCACATCACCTACATAGTGGACCGGTGCTATGATATCACCTACTTAGTGGACCGGCCCTATCACATCACCCACACAGTGGACCGGCCCGGTTTCATCACCCATCAAGTGGACCGGCCCTATCTCATAACCCACACAGTTGACCGGTCCTATGACATCACCTACATAGTGGACCGTCCCTATCACATCACCTACATAGTGGACCGGTCCTATGACATCACCTACACAGTGGACCGGCCCTATCACATAACCCACATAGTGGACCGGTCCTATGACATCACCTACATAGTGAACCGACCCTATGACATCACCTACATAGTGGACTGGCCCTATGACATCACCCACACAGTGGACCGGTCCTATGACATCACCTACATAGTGGACCGGTCCTATGACATCACCTACATAGTGGACCGGCCCTATCACATTATCTACATGGTGGGTGGGTGGCAAACTCTAAGTTCTCCCCGAGCGTCACAATGTCTGACTACGTCACTAAGTAGGGGGCGCCCATGCCATGCCCCCACGCCATGACCCTACAGTCATATACCATCTCTCACAGCTTATCGGTTAACGTTAAAAAACAAAAAAAGAAGCAGCCGTCAGTTATTTACCAAGAAGCAAGCCGACTCTTTAATCTCACCACGGTCAAGCAGATCAGAATAAACGGGGGGCGATGGAGAGGAACGCCTTGGTGATCTCCCCCTTGCAATTCTCTCCCCCCACTCCAGCCCCTTAGAATCCCCTTCTCACCTCAGTCAGCTACAGTTATTCACCTTCTCCCTCTCCCGCCCCCCGACGCGCCTTAAAAGATACGGCCGACATTAGTCAATAAATAGCTTGCATGTGCGGATTCCCCCCCCCCCC